AAGCACAAAGAAGACCATAATTCAATTATGAGCAAGAATAAGGAAAACAATAACAAGTGCACGACATCACCCTTCATGCTTTTATCTCACATAATCATGGCACGACATTATCCTTCGTGCATTATCACTCATATCATGGCACGACATTACCCTTCGTACTTTTACATTCACAATATCGGCACGGCATCATCCTTCATGCATTAACACTCACTCACAAATATCACGCACAACATCACCCTTTGTGCTTTCCTTACCCAAGCAAAAATCACAAGCAATTCGGGCAAGAAAATCACAATACAATCCCGACAAGAGAGCAATAGTATAACAATAATATCCCGACAAGGGAAATAATATCATAGGTAATAACATCCCGACAAGGAAAACAATATCATAAATCTCTTCTCGTTTCCACAATCACTTCACAACATAAATCTCAACTTGAGCCAATGCTCTTCAATGTTCAATTACCAAGAATACTTTCATAAACCTTGTTCAACATTGAAAATCATCATATTAAGCATGGACAATACATAACGGAGTCACAACAATCATAGTATAAGACTCACGGGTGTGCTTGACACCAACGTATAGATACTCGTCACCACACCTATACATCGTACTCCACAATTAACACATAGCAAATAAGACCACAACTCCTATTACCTCAAGCTAAGGTTAGACCAAACACTTACCTCAATGCCACAAACACAATCAAGCCTCAACTACCACTTTACCGCTCGATTCCACTTCCAATTCGCTTGTATCTAGTCACAATTTTCTTAATAACATTAATAAATGCTAAATAAACCAATTCTAATGCATGAAAAATAGGTTTTCTAATGATTTTTCCAAAAAGTCAAAAATCGCCCCCGGGCCCGCTTGGTCAAAACCCGATCACCCATTTACCTACGAACTCAAATATTTAATTTGTTTTAAAATCGGACCTCAAATCGAGGTCCAAATTCCCAAATTTTAAAAATCCTAAGTTCTACCCAAAATTACCCAATTTCCCATGAAAAACCCCTTGATTTGAAATGAAATCATGTAAAAAGATGGATTAGTTTGAAAGAAATGACTTATAAATGAGTTACTAATGATTTGGAGAAGAACCCTTCTTTGGAAAATCGCCCAAGAGAGCTTAGGATTTGAAAGAGTTGGAAAAATGAAGAAAAATCCGTCTAAGTCATAACTTACACAGGTGCAGTTATCGCATTTGCGATGTCAGGTTCACAAATGCGAACTCGCAAATGCGGCCCAGGCTTCGTAAATGCGAAGGTACGCCTGCCCTGCTTACTTCGCAAATGCGAACTATCGATCGTAATTGCGATCACTGCTGAAGTCGCATTTGCGACATTGAGCTTCGCAAATGCGAAGGTCTCCCTGCCCATCCCTTCTTCGCAATTGCGATAATTCGTCGCAAATGCGAAGCCTGCAGACCTGCAACACACCACCAGTTTTTCTAAGTCCAATTTCACTCCATGGCCTATCCAAAATTTCACTCTGTGACCTATCCAAAACTCACCCGAGCCCTCGGGGATCCAAACCAAACATGCACGCAAGTCCAAAAATATCATACGGACTTGCTGATGCGATCAAATCATCAAAATAACATCAACAACTATGAATTAAACCTCAAATTCATGAAAACACTCAAGAACATTGAAATTTCTATTTTAACAACTATGGGTTCGTTTTATACCAAACGAACTCCGATTCTTACAAACTCCACAGACTCAACCAAATTATTATTTTAAACTTGTACTGGGCTCTAGAACCAATATACGAGCCCAATGCCATCAAGAAATTGCATCAATTCACTTCTAAAAGCCTTTATATTTTCCAGCAAATAATTTTCTTTAAAATTTTTTTTCTCGGGTTTGGGACCTTGAAATTCGATTCCGGGTATACGCCCAAGTCCCATATTTTACTACGAACCCTACGAGGCCGTCGGATCACGGGTCCGTTTACCAAGAATGTTGACCAAAATCAACTTTAATCAATTTTAAAGGCCAATTTCCTTATTTTACTTAGATTTCATATAAAGGCTTTCCAGAAATGCGTTCGGACTGCGCACACAACTCGAGGTGAGACAAAAAGAGGTTTTTAAGGCCTCGGAACACATAATTTACTTTCAAAACAAGTAATTGATAAGAGTCAATATCACTAATAATTCTGCAAACGTAAAGATCTAAAAGTTGAATGTCAGATCGATTTTTTTACTCCTTGAAAATAATATATATGGAGGATAAAATTATAATTAAGATTAAATATTTAACTAATAGTAAGAATCTGAATCAGCATAAAATAAAGTATTTTTTATGTTAAGACCAAACTATAAAATCTTTCAATTAATTATTTAGGAAGAGAATCCAATTCAATTATTTTTTAAATTCATCATATGAGTAAAATTATTTTTCAAATTAAAAAAAATCTTAGGGTACATAAATTTATTCCATATAAAGAGAGTTATAGATTAAAAAAATTATAACATAAAATGAAAAAGGTTAGTATAATATTAAGAATCAAACGACCATACAATTGTCTGTTGAAGCACAATCAAAGTTAAATCCTGAACAAGAACAACCTTTCAAGGCTATATTATAAATATTCAGACTCTGGTTTAGCGGCATTATCCTTTGTAGATGCCTCCGGCGGAATCGAAATAATACTTCTATGTCATGCATCACTATGTAAAATCAAGAGGCGTGATATTGTTAACAATAATAAGAAATAGTGTACCAGCAATAATTTTATTATGAGGCCACTCACTTTAGATTTGATATACCTCTTCAAAAAACTGAAATAACAATAAAAAATATATTAAAGCAGAGAAATATTGTTAAATTTATAAGGAAAGCAAAACTGGTAACATGTAATGAAGCGCTTATGGTCAAGTGTCAAAAGATCGAAACAATTGCCGGAGTTCTGGAGATATATTGAGTATCAATGAATCGTTTAGTGAAAAATTAATGATTTGGAAGGTGATTTCTGTCAAATACTACCAATAGTTTCAAAATCGACGAAAGCAGAGATTGTAAAAACTAGCTTGCCAAAATTATACTTATGGCCTCAAATGAAAAAAAATCATCTGACCAGAAATATAAATTAAGAACATATCCAATATTCAGTGACTTCTTGTTTCGTATTGGAAACGAATAAAAGTATCTAATAAAAGATGATTTCGTAATAATAGTGCATTTAATAAGAGAAATATTTCTATCATTATATTAAAACACAATTTGTGCAAATTGCATCATAGAAATTAAAAAGCTATTTTAGCTAGCAGAAATGAATATATTGATCAACTAAAATGGCCTTCTACCACATAGATTTGTTGTCAAGTTTATTAATTCTTACATACGTATGTTAGTGTCACCATATATATAATATACTAAGTTAAAATTGATCTCCCATTGCATATATATTGATTTTGAAAAAAAATATGTACGTCATGCTACTGAAAAACTTAGATCCGCCGAATAGCTTGTGAAATAACACATAAATGGTATATGGAAGTTTTGACAATAACGTCATACATGGAAAAATTATGATAATGGTCAATGTACTTCTAAGTAATTTTTATCCTTGAATTCAACTTTCATTTTCCGAAACTAAAGAATATCCTTTTAAATTTGTGTGAAAATAATTTTAGCTATGTTTATATTTTGTAATTATAATAAATAAAGCACAAGGACAAAACATCCTAAATATTAGACTATTTATCGCAATATATTTTCTTGCACGTACAACTATATATTGCACTTTCAAGAGGAATATCAATATCGACAACAAGAGTTCTGGTTATGGCAGAGCAACTAAAGCATTAGAAGAAAACATACACGAAAAAGCATTAGCTACAAAGAAGTGTTCTGTAAGATACCCTCACATCAAATGCTTTTAAAGTATAATACGTAATTATCTAACTAACATCACTAAATTGATTATTTGTGTAAGTTCTAATGATGTCCTTTCATTTTGAAATCACGTATTATGCTAATGTAATAATATTTTCCGGTTGTTGGATGATTTAAATGTTTAAACCATCACGTACCATTATTAAAGTGCAACGCACGTTCATAGATACTAGTACTATATTAAAAGCACGAAGCCCCTTAGCGAAATATCATTTGCCTTTTTTATCCTTTTAAAATTAGAGTTCACACTAGATAAAATAGATATTTAATTATTTTCCTAAGATTTGGGACCTTTAAATTAACTAAAATTTGACTATTTAATCTCTTTCCTTATTTAATTATATAAGAATTTCTAATATTTAAGAGTTTAAAATTAAAAAAAATATACGTTGATTTAATTGTCCAATGGAACTACATCCAAGTAGCATATTTTGTTTACCAACGCCATATCTTTTAAGACATGATAGTTGCTTCTGTTGTCTAAATAAAGATTATATCTTTCTTCTTTTAAGTTTGATACATAATTGAAAAGGTTCTAAGTCTATATGAACGGATATTATGTACTTTGGTTACTGAAGACAAATTTTGAACGAATATTATATTATTGCCGGAAATAAATATTTTACCTGAAATTCCAATTCGGCGCATCTACCGGATAATTTATGTACTTTTGATGAAATAACCATTTAACAAATTCTGACGTAATATAATACTGTCATTGGTCAAATTGATAATCGAAATTTGTATTACTTGTATTTCAAAGAGATATTAGGTGAAATACAACAAAATAACATATTTATATATTATTTAACAAGATATTATAATTACAATTATTATATAACTAATTCAACTAAATTCATCATCTTTGTATATTAAGAAGATATTGTTTCAATAAATACGATAATTTATTTTTTTTGTATATATTTTATATTGATTGACGCGAAACATATCAGTTAGATTTAAAATCATATTTTCGTATTGGAGTCGCAAATATAAAAGACTTTGAGAAGAAAAAGGAAATGAGGATATTGTCAATTTTAATACTCCTATCATATTTTTGGTTGTAATTGAAAAAGTAACCATACTGCTTTTCCTTCTTCACTTAAAAAATATAAAGCACGCTCTCTCTCAAACCCTAACGTAAGTTGTAGATTTAGAATTGACTTCATTCTGAGTCCAAAGGCTAAGAGTGGGGCATCTAGTCCGAATACTACAGAAACTCGGATTCAATCAGATTAGAGGCGGCGAATTGGGATTTCAGGCGGTTGTCAACTACTCCTATATGTTTGAGGCGGCATAGTCGGTGAGTGCAAAGTTTTTTCTATATTAATTCGTCTTTGTTGTTATTTTTCTGTTGAATTTGTATTGTTGCACTTAGGTTTTATCTGTTTGAGCGGACTGATTTGAGTACCGTCCATATTTTGTTGTTGTGAAATGTTAGGGTTTCCTGATTGAAGAATGTCGAACTTGGGGGGTGGTGCAGAGGCACATGCACGTTTCAAACAGTATGAATACAGAGCTAACTCAAGTCTAGTCCTAACCACTGATTCTCGTCCTCGTGACACACATGAACCCAGTGGCGAACCCGAATCGCTTTATGGTAAAATAGACCCAAAAACATTTGGTGATCGAGCTTATAAGGGCAGACCTCCTGAATTAGATGAGAAGCTTGAAAAGGCTAGGAAGAAGAAGGAGCGGCAGCGGGACCCACTTGTATCCGAGCCCCCCACCAGGAAGAAGAGACGTTTACTTGTTCAGGAAGAAAGTGTTCTTACTTCAACTGAGGAAGGTGTGTACCAGCCTAAGACTAAGGAGACTAGGGCCGCTTATGAGGCTATGCTCAGTATGATTCAGCAGCAACTTGGTGGACAGCCGTTGAACATTGTGAGCGGGGCAGCTGATGAGATATTGGCTGTGTTGAAGAATGATAACTTTAAGAATCCTGACAAGAAGAAGGAAATTGAAAAGCTGTTGAATCCGATATCCAACCAGGTGTTCGATCAGTTGGTGTCGATTGGGCGACTCATCACTGATTATCAAGGCGATGGTGATGCGGCAGCGGTGACTGGTGCAGGTGATGGTGATGAAGCTCTTGACGATGATGTCGGGGTAGCGGTTGAGTTCGAGGAGAATGAAGAGGAAGATGATGAAGAGAGTGACCTTGATGTAGTGCCTGATGATGAAGAGGATGATGATGATGTGCTGGAAGCTAGTGGTTCTGGTGCTATGCAGATGGGTGGTGGCATTGACGATGATGAGATGCGCGAGGCGGATGAGGGTATGGCGTTGAATGTGCAGGACATGGATGCTTATTGGCTTCAGAGAAAGATCTCTCAAGCTTACGAGCAGCAGATTGATCCGCAACAGAGCCAAAAGCTTGCTGAAGAGGTTCTTAAGATTCTTGCTGAAGGCGATGATCGTGAAGTGGAAACCAAGTTACTGGTGCATCTCCAGTTTGATAAGTTCAGTCTCATCAAATATCTTCTGCGGAACCGGCTAAAGGTAGTATGGGGTACTCGTCTTGCAAGGGCCGACGAGCAAGAGAAAAAGGAGATTGAAGAAGAGATGTTGGGATTGGGGCCTGATCATGCCGCAATATTAGGGCAGCTGCATGCTACTAGGGCTACCCCAAAAGAGAGGCAGAAGATTCTTGAAAAAAGCATTAGAGAAGAGGCTCGGCGTCTTAAAGATGAGACTGGTGTTGACGGTGGCGGAGAAAGGAGGACGGCAGTTGTAGATAGAGACGTTGATAATGGTTGGTTAATGGGGCAGCGTCAGTTACTTGATCTTGACGACCTTGCATTTCATCAAGGCGGTTTGTTGATGGCAAATAAGAAATGTGAGCTTCCAGTGGGGTCTTATAGGAATCATAAGAAGGGGTACGAGGAAGTTCACGTGCCTGCTTTGAAGCCAAAGCCACTAGCCGCTGGTGAAGAGCTTGTGAAGATATCCTCTATTCCGGAGTGGGCTCAACCAGCGTTCAGTGGGATGACACAATTGAACAGGGTGCAGAGTAAAGTATATGAGACTGCCCTCTTCTCTCCGGAGAACATTTTGCTATGTGCTCCAACTGGTGCTGGGAAGACCAATGTAGCTATGCTCACTATACTTCAGCAAATTGCACTTAACCGCAACGAAGATGGATCATTCAACCACAACAATTATAAAATTGTATATGTGGCACCCATGAAAGCCCTTGTTGCTGAAGTGGTTGGTAATCTCTCCAAGCGTTTGGAACATTATGGTGTCCAGGTGAAAGAGTTGAGTGGCGATCAAACATTAACTCGTCAACAGATTGAAGAGACTCAAATTATTGTGACTACCCCAGAGAAATGGGATATTATAACCAGAAAGTCAGGTGATCGCACATATACACAGCTTGTTAAACTTCTTATTATTGATGAGATACATCTCCTGCATGACAACCGAGGTCCTGTCTTGGAGAGTATCATTGCGAGAACTATTAGACAGATTGAAACCACGAAAGAACATATTCGGCTTGTTGGATTATCAGCAACGCTTCCAAATTATGAAGACGTGGCTGTGTTTTTGCGAGTTGATCTGGACAAAGGTCTCTTCCATTTTGACAATAGCTATAGACCTGTACCGTTGGCTCAACAGTATATTGGAATTACTGTTAAGAAGCCACTGCAGAGATTCCAGTTGATGAATGATGTTTGCTATGAGAAGGTGATTAGTGTTGCAGGCAAGCATCAGGTGCTTATTTTTGTGCATTCAAGGAAGGAAACAAGTAAAACAGCTCGGGCAATAAGGGATACTGCACTTGCTAAAGACACCCTTGGAAAGTTTTTGAAGGAGGAGAGTGTAGCTAGGGAGATTCTACAGTCTCAAACTGAGCTTGTCAAGAGCAATGACCTCAAAGATCTTTTACCATATGGCTTTGCGATTCACCATGCAGGGTTGGTTAGAACTGATCGGCAACTTGTGGAGGAGCTTTTTGCTGATGGTCATGTGCAAGTGTTGGTTTCAACTGCAACTTTAGCGTGGGGTGTCAATTTACCTGCACATACCGTCATCATAAAGGGTACCCAGATTTACAATCCTGAAAAAGGAGCATGGACTGAACTCAGTCCTCTTGATGTTATGCAAATGCTTGGCCGTGCTGGAAGGCCTCAATATGACACTTATGGCGAAGGAATCATCATAACCGGGCACAGTGAATTGCAGTACTATCTTTCTTTGATGAATCAGCAGCTTCCTATTGAAAGTCAGTTCATATCCAAGTTGGCTGATCAGTTGAATGCAGAGATTGTCCTTGGGACAGTACTGAATGCCAAAGAAGCATGCAAGTGGCTCCTATATACTTACCTCTATGTTCGCATGGTGCGGAATCCCACACTCTATGGTCTAGCTGCTGATGCTCTCAAAACTGATTATACTTTGGAGGAAAGGCGTGCCGACTTGGTAAGTCTTGTTTATATTCCGGTTGTTGGTTTTTTCTTCATAGCACCGTATTTGTATTGCTTAATGCTTAATGCTTAATGCTTAATGTTGTCAGATGTTTTGCACATATTCTCCGTGTTAATAATCGTGTGCTCCCATGAATATTGATGCTAATCATGGAAAAAGTAGAGTCTGTGTAGACATAAATTCATACATTGTGTAGCTTGGGGATCGTGATTATGCATCCTGATACATAATTAATGGGCTTTTGTGTCAAGGAAGAATATTCTGTTTGGTTGTTGTTATTTCATGTTACTTTGGAATTGTGATTAGGTATTCTAGAATAAAATTTATGGGCTTTTGCTTCAAAGGAGAATTTCCGTCAGCTGGTCAGTTTATTTGTGTTCTTTTATTCTTCATGTTTATTATCTTCCATTCCCAAGAAAATTGATTCTAATCATGAAAGAAGTCATGTCATGTGTGGGTTATGTTCATATGAAGATGGTTTTCAATTTGTGGTGCTTTCAAGTCGTGATTATGCGCCCTATTCCATAATTTATGGCTTTGCTTTAGAGGAGAATTTCTGTCAGTGGTTTTTATTTCATGTTACTTTGGAATGGTAATTAGGTACTTGGATACAATAGGTATGAGCTTTTGATTCAAATGAGAATTTCTGTCAAATGCTTAGTTTAATAATAGTTACCGTGTAGTTGCCCGTCAGGGTGAGTCGAGGCCAGCTTAACCAATACTGTGGGAGAAGTAGTTGTTGATTATTTGGAGAGCTTAATGTTTCAATTAGTTTGAGTGAAACCGAGCAAAGACACCGTCACTAGAATTGTTACTATGATAGTCAATGGTGGTAACATCTAATGTCGTGCTGTTCTTCTATCATTTTTAAATTGTTGCTCTGTCTTTTGGTGTCTTGTACTGATATTATGATATTTTGGCATTCAAATTGTATTCCATCAGAGTTTGAAATACTTGCTTGCAGGTCCATTCTGCTGCTACATTGCTGGACAAGAATAACTTGGTCAAGTATGATAGGAAAAGTGGATATTTCCAGGTGACTGACTTGGGTCGTATTGCGAGCTATTATTATATAACTCATGGGACAATTTCCACATACAATGAGCATTTGAAGCCTACGATGGGTGATATTGAACTTTGTCGGCTTTTCTCTCTAAGTGAGGAATTCAAATATGTAACAGTCAGACAAGATGAGAAAATGGAATTGGCAAAGCTTCTGGATCGTGTTCCTATTCCGGTAAAAGAGAGTCTTGAGGAGCCTAGTGCCAAGATCAATGTTCTATTGCAGGCATATATTTCACGGTTGAAGCTTGAAGGGTTGTCTCTGTCATCTGACATGGTTTATATAACTCAGGTTTGCGTTTGTTGTATCAGTAACCTGTTAGTTGGTTGCTTATTTATCTCTTTTTTCATTCTTTTGTTTAGTGTTTTCTGATAGCGAGTTATCTAATCTAGTTATTTACTTTTGCAGAGTGCTGCACGTCTGATGCGAGCCCTTTTTGAGATTGTTCTGAAGAGAGGATGGGCTCAGTTAGCTGAGAAG